AGGGCCCCTAAACCTTAAACCCTAAAAGTGTAGAGACCCTTTTTTGGTTCACGGTCTTGGCTTCGATGAGTCGTTGACCTGCAAACTCTACGCCTTCCTTTCCCTGAACTGGACAAGCTGGCCAGAAGCCTAATATAGGGGCCTTAATAATTAGACGAGGGCTTTGAGGCACATTATACTAAAGTTATAGTAAGGAGCCCGCACAATAGTAGTGGTAATTATATAGGCCCCTACATCAGACCTACAATGCGAAGCCCCAACTGTTCATCCTTTAAGCCCGATCCTAAAGCCGGATCCTCAAGTTCAAGCGTTAAGTCTGCAAGGGCCATCCACGATCTGAACCTGGAGGGTGTGGCTGCCGCTGAGCGAAGTTGGAAGCCAAAGCCCCGTTAAGGCCGTAAGTAGTTGTTTGGGGTTTAGGGTTTAGGGTTAGTCCCTAAACTCGTATAGTGCTAGCTCGGCAGTGCTATTACAGAGGTCGGAAGAATAATAAAGCTGTTCTTTCGGGCTCATTAAGTCATTACGATTCCGTCGTAAAGAACCTGTTTTGAGTAAACAGACTTCTCGCGATACATTCCTGTTGAGGCTCCTATTGAAGGACCGGAAGTGCATTCAGAGGCTCATGGTACAGTATTTACGACAATGCACAATGTGCCGGAGCCATTTACAGACAATGCTACCTCAGGTAGTCTCGAACTTTCACTTTCAACACTGTCTCTCAATCCTGCTAGTGCTCAGGTTTCCATGAATAATCATAATTAGTACTACTATTCCATACGGCTCCTTATCGATATTGTCGTATATTACAATATACAGATGAAGGTGGGCCCCAAACCCTAAACCCTAAAAAACCGTAAACTCTAAGAAACCTAAACCCCAAACCCTGGCTTTTCCGTCGAGGGTTCAGGGTCGGCTTTACCGGATTTAGGAGTTTTTTTGGGGGCTCAGGGCTTCGGGGCTTGGGTTTAAGGTTTTTTAGGGTTTCGGGAGCGTATAATCTCCAAGCCTTCAACCCCGAACCCTTCAACCCGCAAAGCCGTAAACTCAATCTTCTCTTAAACCCAGCTTGCCCAGGAAGTCCGCAGCATGATTCGGACGCAGCAAGAGAAGAAGGCCCAGCAGCGCGTAAATGACTTCATCGAGTTCGCAGCACAGGGAAAGTGGGAGATGATGGAGACCATGCTCAAGGCGAACAAGGTCACAGTCGATTCAGGGCGGCTCGGTGGAACTCTATGCAAGGTTGGGCGACATGAAAGCCTAATATCATCAGGGTTGGGCGTTTTGGTTTGAGTTGCAGGGTTGCGCACATCAGACTCATTGCGAATCGTGTCAGGACGCAGTAGCGAAGCCAGTGGTTTCAGATGAACGTTAAACGGGATTTTGACAAACCAAGGTTTCACAATATAAATCCTGAGTTGCAAAGATCCTGATGGGTCCTTGTTCCGAGGATCCGGCGTAGGTCCAACATAGGTATAGATTAGGTCCTTTGCTGCATGAAACTCCCATTGGGGTTGAGGTAAAAGGCTCATCTAGTCATAAACTCTTGGCAGGCCCCTTTATGAGACCTTGCATTATATAGCCCCGTACATAACCCTCCCAGAACCCTTCTGAAGAACCCTCACAGCTGTTCTGCAATCCTTCTTTGATGACGCCCCGCAAGGTCCTGAGTCCTAGGGTTTAGGGGACGCCGCACAAGGTCCGAGGGTTAATTAAGGGTTTCGGGAGCGATACGGGGATCTCAATGATCCTGAAAAAGGGTTTTGCGGTACATTACAGCATATAAAAGGTACCCCAAGAAATAGAATTAGACATTGTTCAGGCTCCTGTAGAGCAGTTCGTCCCTCGAAAAAGTTTGTGTTTCAGAAAGTAGGGGACCCTACTAAACAGTACTTAGGATCCTTGGTACCCTTAACAGGGGTCCCGTGTTTCCGGAGACGACCCAAAACACAAACACCCTCAACCGTAAACCCTGAACCCTAAACCCAAGACCCCAAACCCTAAACCCTAGACTCAGGAACTGGGACGGTCGCACTGCTCTTCACGTTGCAGTATGCGAAGGCCACCTGCGCATCGTCGAAAGGCTGGTGTCCGAATCTAGCCTGCTCAGAATTCGTTTAATATAGGGGCCTTAATAACTCGAATAGGGTTTGGGTGTATGTTATACTATAATTATAATCAGGAACCCCAACGCCCTATTCTAATTATTAAGGCCCCTACATTACTATGTTGTCGCCCTGACGACTTTTGAGCAGACCTTTCTGCAACTTGGGACCTTGCGCCTTACACCTGAAAGGCCACGTCCCAAACTCTAAACCCTAAGGCCCAACCTCAGGAGTGGGAAATCCTACGGGCCCTAAGCTTTAAGTAACCCTAAACCCTGGAACCTGTAGGGCATTTAGGGTTCGTGATAACTTATGACGGCTACACACACACACACACACCTTCGCTCTCTCTCCCTCTCTCTCTCTCTCTCCCTCTCTCTCCCTCTCTCCCTCGCTCCCGCTCTCTCTCTCTCTCTCTCTCTCGCGCGTACATATACATACACACATACACACATGTGCATATACCAACGCCCAAAACCTTGCAACCTCAGGAGTGGAACGCGTCCTTGATGGCGGAGGATCGGTTCGGGAACACTCCGTTGAACGACGCCGTTCGAGAGCGGCGCTCGGAGGTGGCCGAGTTCCTTATCGAGGCCGGGGTTCGGTAGTTCAGGGGGTTTAGGGTTTTGAGGGTTTTTAGGGTTTTTAGGGGCTTAGGGTTTAGGGTTTAGGGTTGGGTTCATGGGCTCAGCCGGACCCGACGGGAAGTGCTATATAGCCTCTAAGAAAGCCTGCTGCAAGTAACTGCTTCCGCATGACAAAGGTCTATCTATAGGTCTAGGTGATTTTGGACTCTGGGCGCTTGTGACTTGAGCTCAGTCTTGTTTCCAATGGCCAGGTCAACACTGACTGCAGGGTTGAAAGTGTGCATACCGGGGGATCCTATAATCTACTGATTGAAGGTTATACCCTCAAGTTACGGGGTCGTAACCTACTATTCTGCAGGCTTTGGGGCTACAGGGCTTGTGCAACTGCTACGATGTTTTCAGCAAGCTTTATGCTGCATATGCGCTCATGACGTGTGTGGCGGCTGTTTTGCGTTTCTGGTTTGCAGGTCATGGGTATACAGTGGTAAACCATTAGTATACCTCTAGAGCTCTTGGGGCTTGTTCTTTCGGTCGGCTCGCTGCTGTGATCGCGCCTTCTTCTCTAGCTTCGTGGGTTGTCCTGTAAACCCTAAACCCCTAAACCACTAAATCCTAAACCCCTGAACCACTAAGCCCTAAACCCCTAAACCACTAAACCCTAAACCCCTAAACCCCTAACCCGCTAAACCCCTAAACCATCCTAAACCCAAAACCCCTAAACCCTCAACGCTAGATCCTTGGTTTCTTATCAGGGTTTAGGTGTCGTGTGTCGGGGGGAATCCCCTGAATTCTCGTTCTGCAAGGCTGTTTGGCTCTGTGGTTTCTGGAATCCCCCTTTCTGTTAAAGGCGTTTGTTGATGCCTTCCGAACCCCCCCAACCTACGATAGGGGCCTGACGAGTTGGTAAGATCCTGCTTGTTACTGGTATTATCTTCATAGTATATACACACAGAGATAGGTAGGTAGGTAGGTAGGTAGGTAGGTAGGTAGGTAGGTAGGTAGGTGGGTAGGTAGGTGGGTAGGTGGGTAGGTAGGTAGGTGGGCAGGTGGGTAGGTGGGTAGGTGGGTAGGTGGGTGGCTAGGTGGGTAGGTGGGTAGGTAGGTAGGTAGGTAGGTAGGTAGGTAGGTAGGTAGGTAGGTAGACAGGCAGGCAGGCAGGCAGGCAGGCAGGCAGGCAGGCAGGCAGGCAGATAAATAGATAGAAGGCACCAAAACCCTAGTCCAAATTTATGAGGCATTTCTGTCAGGCAGGTGCTGGTTCGAAAAGTGTGAAGCCGAGATTCCAGAGAATAGCTCACAGCCCATGCCTCGAGCCGTGATATTGTTGGTGTGTCTACAAGAACTTGTATTGTTTATTACGAAAGACTAAGATCCCCCAAAATACTAGTATTGACATGAAGAGTTTGGGCGTAGGACCAGGATCCCGTGCAGCGGCCCCGCCCAGGTCGTAATTTGTAAGTCAGTCATACACGGCGCACAAAATCACGAAGACTGTTCGTTAAGTGGGTTCATTTCAAGGAGACTATCGGAGTGGTTGTCCAAAATAGGGTTCCGTTTGGGTTCCCGAACTATAGGATGCGGCACCAAGAGTAGGAACATATTGGGTTCCTCACAGGGCCGTAAACTCCTAAACCCTAAACCCCTAAACCCTAAATCCTAAATTCAATGACATCGGCCAGGCCAATGCAGAATTCGAAGGGGGCGTGTCTGCCGCAGTGCAGCTGCTGAGCTTACAACGGAAGTCGGTATGCTTGGAGTTTTGCGGTTTTGGGTTTAGGGTTCTTGGGGTGTTGGGGTATGGAGTTTAGGGTTTAGGGTCCTTGTGTTTCTGTCACTCCTCCGGCTGCATCCCTCGTTAAACGAGAAGGCCAAGCTGTCGAGGTGTGTTCGCTGGCACACAATCCAAGCCCATGCTGAAAAGGGTCTGGGGTCTAGGGTATAGGGCCAGTAGTGGTTCTAGCTTGTCCAGCAATTTTTATCGGTTCAAGTCACCGTTTGCTAACTTCGAGTTTTGTGCAGGTGTTCGATGTGTGTGGCTTTCCCAGTTTAAGGCGAGCTCCTGCCTCAAGCCCGCCTCTGCGTGCGAATACCGAGCACGAGCTTACACCATCCCTGCTATGAGGCTCCCCGAATCTCCCCGACATAAACCAGCCCTGCTTTTTGAGGAGGCTTCGCCAGAGAGGCTCTCAAGTTGCTGTTTAGTTTACTTTCAGGCGTGCGTGCTCGCATATGGGGCCCATACCATCAACAAATTGCCTCGACCGCCACCCTGCAGACTGAAAGCCTCATAAACAGCAAACACCCCGCACACGCTTCAAATGGATGAAGCACTGATGAAGCCCTAAACCTCGAAACTCCTCCGACGGGCGTCAAGCCCTGAACACCCTGAGTGTTGAACCATGAGCCCTAAACCCTAAAACCGCAAGCCCTGAGCCTGCCACCTGCTTGAGGTACGGTTCTGTGATTGTGACCGCGCTAAGGCTACTGATGTTTTCATTGCTATAGTATCTGCAACATGTACCAAGTATTAGTATTGAAACCTATAAACCCTAGACTTAAACCTCAGCTAGACCCTCTATAAGACCCTGAAAGTACTAAGTGCTCTGGAATCCGAATGGCCTGAAGCTGCAGGTCTTGTACGGCGGAACCGATGTTAAGCTATTACACCCTGTGGATGCATAACATAGGGTTTCCAGGTTGTTCTACCTGAATCTTGAGCCCTTGTAGCTCCCGTAGACAAGCCTCCTCCTCCTCCTCCTAAGTTGGGTTTAGGGTTTAGGGTTTAGGGTTTAGGGTTTAGGGCCCTAAACCCCTTAAAACAAGAACCTAAACCCTGCTGCTGAGGCTCTGTGAGGCTGCAGCCCAAGGTGACACGCGCCAGCTGGAGCTGTTGGTTGAGGCCGACAGGAGAAGCGCAGGGTTTTTTTTTTGGGGGGACAACCCTGAAGGAAACAGACCCAAGTTTTTGACCTTTAGGGTTACATAAATCCTGCGCAACCTTAAGGACCCTCAACTATGGGAATTATGGTATATTGCGTGATTTAGGGTTACTTTCCACAGGCGTATTATCCAGCTAAAATTCTCAACGACCCTCCCTCTCCGGCGAGTGCTTCGAGCAGAATTCGTGTGCTGCATATGGGTAGTTCTCTAAATTCTTATAAGACGGACCCGAAAAGGGACTCTTATTTGGAGAACTACTCATATATACTCTTTCTTTGTAGCTTCATGGCGTTTTTGGTCAACCAGTCCTATGGTTCGGCTCCCCAACGATCCAACTATGAGCCAACAGACAGAAACAACCTGGGAGGGAAGCATGTTCTGGTTGTGTTAGGAATGGAATAGGGTTTTGGGGCATACTTTATAATTACCTTAAGAAACCCCACAAGAGTATTGGTAATTATTTCGGCCCCTTCATTACCCAAAGCCCTCAACAGGTCATTGGGGTCGATCCCAACCTGGGTGACTACGACCTTCGCACAGCTTTGCATCTGGCAGCTTGCCGATATTCAGGTTTTGCAGACTTAGGGTTTAGGGTTTAGGGTGTTTAGGTGTCCTTGCATCGTCGTCTTTGGCTCTCCACAAATTTTCTTGCAACCCCCGGCAAATCTACGGGGATCTTCCCCATCCCGATTGTTTATAGCCTTGGCTCTTCAAAACATGTGTTGGGCCGCTCCGGTTCTTTGGTACTATAGGGGCCTGAATAATTGCCTATGCTTTGGGGGTTCCTTATTCTAGTATACTATTTCCCAAAACGCCATTCGAATTATCAAGGCCCCTATATGATCTGAACACAGGCTCAGGGCCTTCCCCCTGTTTAAGGCCCTTATAGCAGCGGCGGTCATTATTCAGGTGGCTAGAGAGTGTCTCAGAAATCTGCAGGTGGAGGCACTGGCCTTAAAGCAAAACATCTCTTCTCGCGTTACCAGGATGGTCGCCGGTAATTAGACCAACCAGTTTGTGGTTTAGGGGCGTTTAGGGGGTTGGGGCAAGGAGCCTGGGCTGGACCCGAATTTCGAACTACTCCGTGACCACCCAAGGCTGCGTCCAACGGCCATCTGGAGACGATCACGCTGCTAAGCACCTTTTAGGGTGAAGGGCCTGTCTGCTAGTCGCGGCAGCTTTCAGTTTAGGCTAGTGGTTAAGAATGAGTGTAGATCTCTAGAGCCCCGTTGCTCAACATACGCTGAGATAGCTTCGCAATCCGTTTCAGCGAGAATGGCTCAGGAGTTTCGGGGTTTCCTCAAGGACTTGTAACCGGTACGTCCTCCACATGCCCATCGGGTTTGCAAATCCCAATGTATATATCTGTATATATATATATATAGATACAGTCATGAAGTCTTTGGCAGATTTCGCTGCTTGACACGGTATGTGGCGTTCAAGTGCAGGGCGAAAAAGACCCTCCAAAATGTAACGACTCTAAACAAAAAGCCTAACATTTCCCTAAAGCCTAAACCCCCTAGCTCATGAACTGGAGTTCTACATCAGCAAGTTGCTCCCATCACCGTCACCGAGTCGAGTATGCATGAGAGGCAGAGGCCAGCAAAGAGCTGATTCACTTAGGGCCTCTTGCAGCACATTATTTCTGTTTAGGGTTCAGGCATGAGGGTTTAGGGATTAGGTTGTAGGGTTAAGGGATGAGGGTTTAGGGTGGTCATGGCCCCTCATGCTGCTGCACTCATTCATGTAGCGGTCTAGCCCCACTGCGCAAGTGATTGTTTAATATTGGGCTTGAATCATTAGTAAGACTATGCTAACCCCGTACTTTCAAAAGCAGGGGCCCTAACACAGACTAGGCATTGTAAGGCGAAGCCATCAGGAGTTTACGATAATTGGCCGCACCCAAGTTCCCGAATCCCGACCGAGGAAGATGTTGGACTTCCCATTCTTGGCATCCCGTCAGCCAGTCAGGGTTTTTTGGGGTTCAGGGTTTCCAGGACATTGTTCAAAGCAAGCTCAGGCTGACGCAAGAGTTTAGAGGTAATGATCAATTATAGATATGGGGATTTCGGTGGTTTTTGCCAATCATCTTTGAAGCTAGGGCCAAGAAGCTGGGGTGATTGAAGCACAAACATGTTGGAAACCTGAGCTGAGAATGACTCCCTTTTTGGTCTTGCCAACCTGTTCTTCGCCAACTCAACTTGGGTGAAAAACTCTGAACTGACAGATTGTTGCCGACGGCTTTCCGGATCTTTCAGGAGACCTGAACATCCTTTCGCCCAGAGGGATGGCCACCCCCAAAAGCTCTTGAGATATAGCCGTCGGGAGTCCTCCCCCACCTCGCCTCACAACATAGATGCGGTGGGTTAAACAGTACGTAGGATCCTCATTCCAGTCATCCAGAAGCAAAGGGCAGCAACCCCGAAATAAGGATCCCATAAGCCAAGAGACCATTACTTATTGAAATCTTGCATGTTAGTCTAGAGCTTTAACATTATACCTCGCATGCGTAGCGAGTATGAAACCCAAACTCTACAACCTATTAGCCCCATATTACAAGCCGTCATCGCTGAACCCAAGAAGCCTGACTACAGTCTTGTTGTTCTAGGCCTTGTTGTGGCCCGACTGTACGCACTAAATTTCTTTGTAAACAAGCTAGCCTGAACCCCGCTGGCCCCAAACCCTAAACCCTAATCCCTAAACCCCAAGCCTTAAACCCTACAAACCCTAATCCCTGAACCCGAAACCCTAATCCCTAAACCCCAAACCTTAAGCCCAAGAAACCCTACCCCTGAACCCTAAACCCCAAACCTTAAACCCTATAAACCCTAATCCGTGAACCCTAAACCCTACTCCCTAAACCCTGAACCCCATACCCTAATCCCTAAACCCTAATCCCTGAACCCTAAACCCTAAACCCTAAACCCTAATCCCTGAACCCTCCCACAGGATGGATCTCTGCAGGTGGACAAAGGGGCTCAGGAAAAAAAAAAACTAGTCCCTAAAACCCTAAACCCTAAACCCCAAACCCTATAAACCCTTCCCCCTAAACCCTCATCCCTGAACCCTAAACCCGCATCCCTGAACCCTAAACCCCAAACCCTAAACCCTCATCCCTGAACCCTAACCCTAAACCCTAAACCCTAAACCCTCATCCCTGAATCCTAACCCTAAACCCTAAACCCGCATCCCTGAACCCTAAACCCCATACCCTAAACCCTCATCCCTGAACCCTAACCCTAAACCCTAAACCTTCATCCCTGAACTCTAAACCCTAAACCCTAAACCCTCATCCCTGAACCCTAAACCCCATACCCTAAACCCTCATCCCTGAACCCTAACCCTAAACCCTAAACCCTAAACCTTCATCCCTGAACTCTAAACCCTAAACCCTAAACCCTAAACCCTCATCCCTGAACCCTAAACCCCAAACCCTAAACCCTCATCCCTGAACCCTAAACCCTAAACCCTAAACCCTCATCCCTGAAGTCTAAACCCTAAACCCTACATTCCCCAAACCCTAAACCCCAAAACCCCAATCCCTAAACCCTAAACCAAGAATGCTAACCCCCCTGAACTGAGGATCTGAGTCCGCTAGACCGGTTCGGGCAGACGCCTTTGGACGATGCCATCCGCCACGAGCACGTGGCCGTGCAGAAGCGACTTTGATCCCTTGAGGTCTGGTTTAGGGTTTAGGGTTTAGGGTTTAGGTTTAGGGTTTAGGGATGGGTCTATAGGGGCTTATAAGGCATCAACTGGAAGGGGGCTAAGCAGCTTAGGAGCCCAACAGGTAAACTTCGAACTTTTTCGGTATATTCAACCCCTATTAAAAGAAACGTTTAATCTTTTTGGGTCAGGGTACTGGGCTTAAAGGATAATAACCACTACTATTTTGCGGGTTTCTTCTTACAAGTATAGGATAATGTACACCAAAACCCTATTCTAAATATTAAGGTACCTAGATTATAAGGGATCTATGGGGTTTACCCACTATCAGGCCCTAAATACCTATAAGTTGAGTCGTCCGAGAACCTACCTGGCTGCTGAGTTCATCAGCCGAAGAAGGTGTAAACTTTCAGTTGTATTGAGGGTAATACAGTTGATGGACAAAATCCTGCATGACCTTATATACCTAAACTACGGGATTTATGGTACTATACTATATTTGCGTCATGCAGAATTTTGTCCATCAAAAGTATTGTCCCGAAAAGACTTTATAAAGTGTACCCACTCAGCTACTGATCCCAAATCCTCACACAACCGAAGCCTCACAGCTGAAGAAGCCGAGGCTGCTCAAAAGCGAGGGCGCGCAGATGGGCCACTTGTCGTCCACTCAAGCCCTCAGCACCCAAACTTGGGGGCAATTCTTAACCCCTAAACCCTGAACCTCAAAACCCTAAACCCCTAAACCCTAAACCCTAAACCCCTAAACCCTAAACCCTAAACCCTGAACCCCTAAACCCTAAACCCTAAACCCTAAGCCCTTCTAAACCCGACGCCGGAAACCTTCAAACCCTCGGCCAAAGGCAACGTCGAGTTCGGGGTCGCCCTCTGCGAGGCAAACCGAGTGTGCTCGAAGTCCGTTGTGGATTCAGAGTGTCGGGGCTTAGGGTTTAGGGTTCAGGTTTTTTAAGGTTCATGAAGTCCGGTTTTAAAAAAAGTTTTTAAAGGTTTGGGGCCGGGGATCAGGTTTTAGGGTCTAGGGGCTCAGGGTTTGGGATAGGGTTTTGGGTTTAGGTCTGGAATATTGGTCTCAAGTTTAGGGGTTTCGTTCTAAAGGTCAGTTATGCATGTAAACCACCAGAGCTCGTGTACCGATGTATGTCGTATTCCATTGTACGAAAGCTTTGAAGGCCAAAGTTTGCAATACCGTTTGCTTGCATGGACTTTCGGGCAATCTAAGGTCCCCCCACAAGGCCTAAGTATAGACTATGGGTTTGATTGCGTTGCAAAGACAAAAGAGCCCGATTGAGATTAAGGTTTGTAGGAAGCGTTGTGTTAATTCTGCAAGTGCTGCGCTAACCCTCAGCCCCACTGTACAATTCAGTCGCCTCGCCAAAAACCATCGCAAATCCCAAAAACGGATCCAGGTTTTCTTGGTTGGACCATGCTCGAAATATAAGAACTGGGGCAGTACATCGCGGAATCGGCGAGGGTAGTATAGAGGTTTGAACAGGTAGGAACAGGATTCGATCGAGTCCCAAAACACGTATGCTATAGTATATGCCGAAACTCTATTCAAAAGGTCCCCGATAGTCTGGTAATTTGGAACATCTGCCAAGAAGCGATCGCATCAGACACTGTGTCGCGTGCAAATTAGGTCGATCTTTGTTTCAGCTGTTGTTTGCGCCAGTAGTTTGGTACACTGTTGTTGTCTGGTCTGCGCGCCCAGAAAACTAAAAACAAAACGAACTTCCTAAACTGCTCAAAACCTCCAGCCCCAAAGATGCATGGAATCCTAAGCTTTTATAGACCCAGAAAGTCTAAACCCTAAAAACTCTACAGCTCGAAAGGTACGTATTGAAACCCTGTAGATCTGACATCCGGACTGAGGGCTGAACACGTTGTGTCCCAAATCTGCAAAAACCCCTGCTCTACATCCTGACAATACCACCCGAAACTCATCACGTCGCACCAGAGAAAAGAAAGTAGGCGCATCCCAAAATGTCGGGTTTGAGATTTTTGGAAGAACAATAGTCATGTGAGTAGTGCGGTAATTGCTCACAGGCAGCTGCCGAGAACGATCACGTGTCTTGGCATCGATTGTTGCAGGATGTTGCAGGGCTCTCGGGGTGGGGGTGCGTTGTGTTGGCGGCAGGTACGAGCAGTTCAACGCAGGCAACCAAGTTGGTCATCACCAGGCTCTAACATTACAAGCACGATCAGCGAAGGCAAGCTCCAGTTTGACTACCACTTGCTTTGTCACCAATTTTGTATAGCTTCATACTCAACACTTCCATCATCTTCCATCGCCACACTTGACTAGGTTAGCACGAATTACTACCATCGCCTGTGGTGAGAAGAAGCACTGATAGTCGCAGTAGAACTCGCACGGCAATTAATAGGAAATGGATCTGGAAAAGCAGGAGGAGGATGAGGAGGAGGAAAGGAAGATGAGGAGGAGGAGGAGGAGGAGGGGGAGGAGGATGGGGGGCCGGGGAAGAACTCAACATGAGCGGCAGCAGTAGCAGAAGCAGTGGCATTGGCGGCAGCACCAGTAGCAGTGGCAGGAGTAGTCGTCGTCGTATTTGCAGTAGCAAGGGTGACGATATTGGTGTGCCTGCGTCCAACTTACAATCCGAAGTACGGCAGACCAACCATGTAACATTGCATGTGGTCTCTGCTTGTGATCCCCAGTAGTTCTATTCTAGTTGAGGCCCTAAACCCCTAAACCCTAAGCCTCTAAGCCGTTTTGGGAGCGAAGCTGGGTTTGAATTATTCCGCTTCGCTTCCCTTGGCAAGCTTTTGATCGTCTGCCTGCTTCCTTTCCCTATCGCGTGTTCAGTTTGTACGAAAGATGCACAATCCTTATATATAGAGAGAGAGACAGAAACAGTATCTAAACACAAGCATAAGTATATCAATGTCATAGTGTCATAGTAGGTTATGTGGGGGGCAGGCAAGCCTTTAGCCGGATTGTTAGCCGCAAGCGGCCTGGCAACCAAGGGGCCCAGCCACAGGGTCAGGGTTTAAGGTTTGTAGGGGGTGTTGGGGTTTAGGGGTCAGGGCAGTCAAAGACCCACCAACCGAAGATATCGAAATCCTAACCTAAAACCATTAGCCTCGAAGCCTCAATCGAAACCCCCACCTCCACAACGAACCCTAGCAGCCCTAGCAGCACAGGGAAAGCTTCGGCAGATGATCGATGCCGGTGTCAGGGCCCGCTGGACTTTGTTATAGAAACAATTTCCGCTTTGTGTTGGTTTTGTTTGTGAAGGTTTCGGTTGCAATGTAGACTTTCTGGAGTTTTGGGTTTGCCGCCTGAGGCCTAGTAGGCAGTAGCTGAGTGGGTACACTCTGCACATTTTGGAACATGTTACCCTCGGTAAAACTGACAGTTTCAGGATTTTCCGGGCTTATGAACTCAGCAACTAAGGAGGGCTTCGGGTGCTGGGTTGCAGGAGTGGTTGTGGGCTACAGGTTTTGTTGACCTGCTTGGTTTCTCCTTCTCCTAGGAGCAGGCAATACAATCGAGGAGTAAAGTCACCTCCCCGAAAGAACACACATAATTTAGGGGCCTTTACAATTACCTATACTATTTTGGCGGTTCATTACTACAATAACCGTAGAATATACCCCAAAACCTTATTCCAATTGTTAAGGCCCCTACATTACGGGTTTAGGCGCTAGGTTTTAGCGCATGGGGCCTTCGAAGGTTGCCGACATTAGGTCCTTATTATACTTATTATAGGGTTTAGGGTATAGGGACATTAGGTCCTGATTATAGGAGCGGCGTACTGTGTTGGGGATCCCCAAAGGTTACCGACGTTAATAGGTGCCAGAACACACAAACTAAAGCCCAAGCCCCGTGGATTCCAAACCGTCGGAATGTTAGGAAGGCAAGAAGGACATAATCATAAGCATTTTATAGGGATGTCCCTATTGGGCTTCATTATAAGGGGGTGTATATTTGATATCCCTATCCTAATTTTTGCTTATGTGCCTTTGTTGGGGCCGTCCGAATGGCAAAGGCTGGCATGGCGGACTACGACTACCGCACTGCTCTCCATCTGGCCTCGTCCAACGGCAATCTGGAAACCTGCTTGTCCCAGAGGGTCCAAGTACTTAAACAGCATGTACCTAGTAGGTATTTGGGCCCCCAAATTATATACTATACTGACCCTAAACCCTAAACCCTAAACCCTAAACTAAACCGTAGACTATACTGTTACCTGGAGCCTTTGGGTGTCTTGGTTCCAAATGTTCAGTGCTTTCGTGTACATGCTTTCGTTCGCGTGTCAACAAGGTCAAAAAGGTGCTTAGCGTGTTAGCGGCGCTGGGGCGGTTGCAAGTACAGACGGACGACTGCTACAGTTCCTTTCTACAATAGATCGAGTTTTTTCCGGGACCTTCTGACTTCTTGAAGCACCTCAAGCCTCCCAAGATTAAAGTCTAAAGCCCCTCACGCGCAGACCCGACACCTCTCGACCTGAAAGCCTTAACCGTAAATAGACCCTCAGAGCAGCTGTAATAGAATCCTATATAGCACCAACCTTGAGCCTAACCATCTCTTGTCTTCTGGAGGGTCGTGATTTTCTGTGGTATATGCAGGGTGCTGTCGGTGCGAGTAAATTTGGCCCTTTGTGGTATAACAAGAAAAAAGTGTGCCTGGCATGCATCCTTTTCGCCTAGCGGTGCCGTTAGCAACAAAGGGGCTCTGTGTTGGAGATGCTGACTTCCATTAACAACAACCATGTTCATTAGTAACTAATAGTTATATTATGGTTGTTGTCACTAGTGTTACTTTCGTTATCCAAAGCGTATCAAAGTCATAAACTGTCATGTTGGCACGCACAAGACGGGCGGAGATCAAGCATCCACATGTGAGGCTCCTAGACCCTAGGCCCGCAAACCAACAAGGCTATCCCTAAACCCAAAGCCGGAAAACCCAGGACCCTGATCCTTAGACCACTATTCGTGAACCTCTGAGGAGACATGTGCCTTCCTGCTGCGCGAGGGCAAGGTGGATCCCAATCCTTTAGACCGATTTCTTCATACTCCCCTGGATGATGCAATCCGGCATGGACACAAGGCCACGCAGCTGCACTCCAATGAGGATGTCGCAGTTCCTGTTATCGCACTTATCTATTTATTTGTCGGTGCATCTGTGCGTATGTATTTTTATATGTTTTCTGTTCTACATACACGCACAAACATGTCAACGTGCAGTGCTAGAGTGTAAGGCAATAAACCAGCGACTCAAAATCGGCGGCATTTGGGAAAACTAGGTGCATGATGAAACGGACTGCCTTCTGCTCGGACATGCATCCCATGAGCCCCCATACCGCCTTCTAAACCCGAAGCCCTCGTTTGCTTGGCTCTGTGAAGTTGCCTGCCTGTTTGGCGTCCAGACAAGAGCACAATATGCGTACGTGTATATGTATATACATACTTATGTGTGCTTTCACACAAGCACTATATATACATGTATGTATTATATAAAAACACACACACACACACACGTACATATATATATATATATATATGCACATGCACGCACAAATAGGTGTATGCATAAGACCATTTAATTATTGAACTTCTCATCCAAAGAAGACTTGGGTCCCAGACCCTCAATGTCAAGCCCTTTGTCCCTTCGAGGATGTGGCGGAGCTGCTGATGAAGTTTAAGGGAAGGCCCTCCACCGATGACGAGTACCTCAGCACGGTCCGCGATGAGTTCTTGAAGCAGACACTCAGACCCATCTAGGTTTGGTGGCTTGGGCTTGAGGATTGGTGTCGCAAATCAGGTGGTTCTAGTGCCTCTCACCGTCTACATATCCTAAACCCCAAAGCCATACTTGGCTGAAGGTTGTGCTTCCGGTAAGATACACAGCGACTAAGAGAATGGATCTTGGGTCCTTTTCTTGTGTTCACTCTTGCTTCCGGGCGTGCCGGCTGTGCTGAAGAACAGGACGAAAGGGGCCCCTTTTCACATCGGAGTTTTGAATTGAGGAATCATTCTTGTGACATTTTGTGACATCCACATATTGGTCTTTTTTGTTATAGTTGTTATTGAGCTCCCTACATAAACGCTACACTAGCTCTTTGAGTTTCTCTCTTTGGGCTTCGAACCCAGTCACGGGAGTTCGCCTCATTCTTTTTCTCACGATTCCGGAGCTGAGATAATAAGGCCCATACAAGTGTAACTTAGACTTAAGCATTTTCCCTCATTAAAGAAGCGAACATCAACTCGGGCTTAATTTGGGGCGCTTCAGAAGCCTAAAGCCCTACACTGAACATTGTCTTGGCTGTCGAGGTGTTCAAGTCATGTTTGATTCGGGGCACCTGTTACAACCGGCAATGAGTTTAACAATTGTGGCTTAAGCCTGCGCCTTTTAGGCATTTGGCTTTCTGTAAAGCTCAGGCGTAACAAAAACCGTTTGGAAGGCTTCCCAGTGGGATTTTGACAGGACATGACTATGTGTATGTTATATATATATATACATATGCAAATAGTATCGATGTCTGTATGTACCTATGCACGCATGTTTTGTGTTTGTTTGTTGTTTGCTCGCAGATATTTATGTGTATATATATATATATACACACATTCCAACAAATGCGGGAAGCCTGCACAAAGGATGCCCAACCTCACCGAGACCAGCGGGCCTTAGGTATCATGACTGCTTCTTCGTCTCTCTATGCTGTGGACTAGAGTCAGCCCTAGAACATTCTCTGCGAGCATCATTGGATTTTTGTGCAGGTTATATGTACTTTAGTAGTTAGAAGTATAATTCTAAGAGTATATAAGCATAGTTACCTTATTCATAGCGTGATCGTTGAAGCACGGAAATCCTGGGACTAACTAAGAGTCTATCATGATAGATGCTTCAATGATTGCCAATCTTCTTCCTTAGGAATCCTTATCATAGTTATCGTGTGCCTGCCCATGCCCCACAGCAAGACATGTGCCGAGGATGGAGGAGGAAAAGGCGCGCAAAGACACAGACAAGCTTGACAAGGAGAGCATGTTTTTTCTTCTGTTGGAGGGGGGGGGGTGGCGGGTAGGGTTTAGGGTTTGAAAGGGGTTGCCGCGACTCAGAAGCGTAGGCTTGAGGACGTGTACTCCGGCTCAAATTGGGAGTCAGAGACTTCAGAAAGACAGTTTACATGACCACATGCATGCTGCGGGTCACAGAGACAGAGAGAGAGAGAGAGAGAGAGAGAGAGAGACAGAGAGAGAGAGAGAGAGAGAGGGCGAGGACTTGCAGACTGGACATAGGAGTCGAGTCGCGCAAGTAAGCCTGATTGATCTATCTGTACTTGGAGGTTCATGGGTAGCTAGAAGTATGGTTATAAGTCCCTTAATATGGGTTATAATTCTTGTTACCCTACATATAACCCCATTTATAACTACCCATGAACCTCCAAGTTCTTTTTTAGGTCCTCTTCACCCCAAAGGTGAGCCCCTTGACATCCCCAAAGGACACAGGAAAAGTTAAAAAGCCCGAACCCTAAACCTTGAACGACAACTTAGAGCTCAAAACAGTGAAACCTACTGTGAGTTCTCTTGTCTCAACTTCTGACCAGTATCGCTGCAGACTTTGCCAGGCTTTGTCCGAGTCTGAGTGTAAAAAAAACCTTGAACCCTATACTCCTCTACCCTAGACATCCCCCCAAAGACACAGGAAAAGCTAAAAAGCCCCAAAACCCTAAACCTTGAATTCTTTGGTGCATCGATCTCCTTAGAGGCAGTAAGGAACCTAGGGTTTAGGGGTTTAGGGTGATATAGGGGCCTTAACAGCTGAATAGGGTTTTGGGGGTATATCATACTATATCTATAATAAGGTACACCCAAAATAGTATTGGTAATTGTTGAGGCCCCTATATGACCATGTCCTTTAAACCTAAACCCTAAACCTTGGGCATATTGGATATGTTGCTGGGAGCTCATGTGGACCGGCAGCTGTGCGGAGGGCTTGTTTGCAAGTTATTGCTTGTGAGCATGAAACACCCTCATATCACAACAATCCCTAATCCCTACAGCCCTAAGCCATGAACACCTAAACCATAAACCCTAGCTCTACTCTTATCTCCAAAGCGCCGGAAGTTCCCAAAGCTAAATTTAAACGACGTTTACCCCTCTAACCCCTCAACCCTAAACCTAAACCCTAAACCCTAAACCCTAAAACCCCTGCAAGCAAAACTGAAGAACACCGGAAGGAGCTGAAGACGCACAAGTTCTCCGAGGTTTTGGAACGATTGGCACGGCTCCGCTCTGATCTCGAGGACGGCCTGCTGCTGTAGGAGCTTTGGGTTTAGGGTTTAGGCTTTGTTAGGGATTACGTGATAGGGTTTGGGTCTAGGATTTAGGGCTTAGGGTTTAGGCTTTGTGACTTAAGGTGTGGAAGGTTGTAGAAGTATCAGGTTCGGCTCGGGGCCTAAAACTCCGAAGCCCTTCATGATGCAAGAACAATCCCTGAGTGTCGGTTTAGGGTTTAGGGTTTAGGGTTTAGGGTTTAGGGTTTAGGGTTTAGGGTACGGTGCAGGTTCATAAACAGGAACTCTTTCTTGAGGTGTCATGGATGGCGGTGTCGGGGGCCCTTGCAAACCAAAATGACAAACTCGATCACGGTTCTGGGCTATTGAATAAAGCTGCAAACTACTGCTACTCCTCCTACTACTCCTACTACAACTACTGTACAGGCATTCGGCTACGAAGAAAAATTACTATAACACCCAAGAACGATACCACTTTCAACGACAAAAACAATAACAGTAGACCATACGACGAAGCGTCCAGCTGCACAGCTTCAAAAATATGGAACCCTAAACCCTAAACCCTAAACCCTAAACCCCTAAACCCCTAAACCCCTAAACCGTTATGGAACCCTTGCAAAAACCTCAAAGGCAGACATCAGCCAGGCCGCAAAGAGCGAGTGTGTCTGGATCTGATCCCGACCTTCGCTGCTTTACCCTTACCCTCAAAGGACTCGGGTTCGGGGGTTTTAGGGTTTAGGGTTTAGGGTTTAGGGTTTAGGGTTTCGGGTTTAGGGTTTCGGGTTTAGGGTTTAAGGTTTAGGGTTTAGGGTTTCGGGTTTAGGGTGCTTATATAATGCCCTAACCCTAGGACTCTAAGGACTCATATTTTAAGGCCTTTAGGCCTAAAGACCCTGTTATATAAGGCTTTTGGGCTATTTTGATGCTAAGGGTCATAATACAGATTTTACAAATCAGTAACCTAGGTATCTCGGTTTAAGGTTTAGTGTTTAGGGTTTAGGGTTTAGGGATAACCACTATCCGCAACCAAAGTACCTTAATACTGGGTCCTTTGGACCCTTTGGGTTAGAGCTTCGAGCTCCAAGAGTGTAGGGCTTCAGGGTATGGGGGCTTCAAGTAGCCCAAAGTAGGCACCATCTACCGAGTTAAACCCTTTTGGCAATTACCGTGCCCAGAGCAAGCAATGCACTCCGAACAAGAAAAATACACCGTAAACCCTAAACCCTAAACCCTAAATCGACAACATTCTTTACATTGTTCAACAAAAGCCGTGAGACTTTCGGGCCACCTGTTCTCTACGTCCAGCGCGGCACCGGTGTCCAGTTGCAGGGTGTGCTGAAGAAGGCTCATGTCAGGCGCAGACGGCGCATCGACCTAAGCTAGGTAAGGCTCAAGGTCTAGGGTTTAGGGTTTAGGGTTTGGGATAATTGTTAATTTTCCTTATGTTGTTTTGCGAGGGATTACTTATTATAGCAGGTTCAAACACGCCGAAGAAAGACTAAACGGTCATCTGCTCATGTGCTGCCGTGACTCTCCATTGCATTGCCCTATGGAGATTGATGAGTGAGGTTGTAGGTTGAGCCCCGATATACAAGACCATCGACAAAACCTTTTCGCTATAAATCGAAGAGACTCAACCCGAAACGAAAACCTCACCCCTAAATCCTAAACCCTAAATCGGTCGAGTCTGAACAGGTAGGATCCCACGACCACCTGAACCAGGAGTTTCGGGCTTAAGGGTTTTGCGGTTAAGGGCTTAGGGTATAGGGTTTTTGAGTTTTTTTTCAGCGGGTTGAGTTTTGGGTTTCATGCTTGGTGTTGCAGGTATAGGACTTAGGTTCAAACGGCTTAGGGTTTAGTTCTTGCGTCGTTTTAGGTTGGAAGGTTGTCGGAAGGGAAAATTCGACTGCTTCTAGTTGGAGCCGGGGGGAATGACAGCAAAGTAATGCCAAAAGGTCCGGTGACTGTAAGGAGGATATACATGGCCTTAGCAAACGGAAAAGGGCTTTGGCGTGTATGCTACCCTAAGGCTCAAAATAGCCCAAAAGCCCTATATAGTGTGGTCTTTGGGCCCAAAAGCCTTAACATATGAGTCCTTAGAGCCTTAGGGCTATAGTATAAAACTCTCAGGGAACGAACTCAGGGAGACTTTTTATGAGTTCTTCCGTTCGCTACATGACAAATCACTGTTGTACATCCTTAACTAAGTCCCCAGGCTCTCTAAGACAATAATATATATATATATTATATATATATATGATTTACGGTTTAGGGTCCACAGGCTTTCTAAGACAATATATATATATATAGACATACAGAGAGAGAGAGAGAGAGCGAGAGAGGCCTAAACACTATCGACCCTACAATCCACAACCCTCAACCCGAGGACAATGCAGACGCCCGTGTGTTTGATTCGTCAGACCATTCCCATATACCCAGACCCCCGGTAAAATCAAAAAAGTAGATCCCCCATAATTTTTGACCCTACCTACTAAAGGTACTTTACCGGGACACCCTTCAGGGATCTACTTTTTGAATCCACCCCGTGGTCTGGCTAGTCCCTACAAACAGTCTACCCCAAAAAATATGCTGCGATATACGGTTTAGGGTTTAGGGTTTAGGGTTTAGGGTCTAGGGTTTAGGGTTTAGGGTTTAGGGTTATGCCTTGAGGCGCCCTATGTTGCAGACATGCTGCAGGAGCGGCTTCATCGCACGTTACGGTGTGGCCCAAGGCCAGTGGGGCCACGCCAGCGAGAGCGAGCCACAGCATATGGAGGCAAGGTTACGGTTCAGAACCCTGTGTCGTTTGAGGTGGAACGGCTTCGGCGTCGAGAATCGAGAATTCGAGGGTTCGGGGCTTTGCAAGATCCCTAAAACCTAAACCCTAAACCCTGAACCCGAAAGCCCGAAACCCTGGACCCTGAACCCTGGCAGAACATCAGCCCCTAAACCCTAAACCCTAAACCCTAAACCCTAAACCCAAAAGTGCGCTTTTTTTTGAACCTTTCCGGGGGATGACAGGTCTTAGGGACTTGGAAGCTCCACGCTGGGACAAGCCACTGTCTGTAACCCTAAACCCTAAACCCTAAACCCTAAACCCCTCAACCCTAAACCCCTAAACCCTAAACCCCTCTTACACCTGGGATG